TTGGTTACATAAAGATCCAAGGTGAAGGATACGCATGTGCGAGCCTGCTCCTCCCACAGCATTCGGCTTCTCTAGTCAGAACCTGACGTCCCCGAGCTGCTAAAGAGCCTGCCCTGGCGTGGCGGGGCCCAGGACGCCGAGGGCTCCCCTCGCACACGCTGGAGAGGCCACGCTGCAGGCCGCCTGCCATTGGCATCTCGCGGCCAATGCCACGTTTTGAGCTCTACGTTTTCAGCTCGGGTGTTTGATGGCCGAGGTTTCCAGACATTACGGGACGGGGCAATTTCAGACCTCACCTTTTCTCCCATCCCTCCTTCGAGAAGGAAGCTCCATGCCCTTTACAAGTCAAGTCAAGGCCCATTATGATTAATTTGCTTTTAGTCAATGGCTCATCTCGCATGCTGTAACGTGACAAACAGCAACCAAGTATTAGATCATAGAGCTGGGGACTCGAGTCTGAATTACCCGTGGTTTGTTTCCTTTGATCTCGTTACTTATAACTGCAAGCCAGTCAGATTCAAACTGGTCCGTATGACTTTCAAGCACTAGCAGAAAAACGGGCCCAGGTGAAATGCCAAACCAAGAAACTGCTCAGAAGTATCTGATGCTTCGGGGCAGGTGGTCAGAGGCATGTCTGCGCAATCAGACTTCAGTGTGTTACGACAGGGCGTTTCCTGTCTCGTGGGCGCAGCATGGCCCGGATGGTTCCAGCCTTGCTCTGCTCAGGACTGCTGCCCTCGGCATGCCGCCTGCCTCCCAGCCACCGAGCACATTTCACTTTGTCCACTCCTGCAAATCATGCGCGATGATTTGCTCAGCCACTACTTTTGGAAGGGGAATGAGCCCATCAGATGGTGCCAGGGGTATTTCTTCTGCCAGCTCTGTCAGTCTCCTAAGAGATCATCTGAACGTGCACTGGGGAGAGAACTTGAGCACTTTCACTATGAGAAAACCCCTCTCTTCCCTCGCTGATTAGGACTGCAGAGACAGCTGACCTGAGCTGAAGCTTCTCTGATACAGTCAGTGCCGGTCACGTGCATCAAAGCCTTCCTCCTGGAGGATGCTGAAAAGTTTAACAAGCTGTTCCAGTATTAATCATTCCACTTGCCACTGAGGTGCAGCCATCTCTGGGGCCACACTCAGCAACTGCTTAGTAAGTGCTTACCCCCACACAACGCTGCAGGAATTTAGGATCTCCAGCCCTTTTCCCCCTGCTCTGCTAACAAAGGATGGAAACCCAATTACAGCATGTTCAAATACAGGGGGGGGTTGAGGAGAACTTTTCTTTCTGATAAACCATTTGGCAAGAGGACAGCGTGCCGGCGTTCTATGCATGGTTTGCTTTGAATAATATTTCTTTAGTAGTTTTCTGGGAATTCTCATTCCCCATTTGAAATCACCACTTCAAAGCCAAATATGATCATGTTTTGAAGCAATAAGCTTAGTGACTTTATAAACATCCCTGCAGCACTAGGTAAAAAAAATTAAAAAGGAAAGATTAAAAACAAGCCCAAAGAAAACCCACAACACACATGCTAATTAAACCATTTTAAAATGGGCTAATTCTGACCTCAAACCAGTAGAGAAGTATGGAACATGGCTGCTTAGTAAGCTAACCTCATCTTTAAAGTCACAAAACACAAAAGCTCATAAATCACCATTCTCCCTTGGCAGCCACCTCCATTCCTTCCTTTGAAACTCTAAGACCCAAGCAGAAAACACTTCCTATCTAACCATCCTTGCAAGACATCGATGTTGTCACCTCTAAACTATCAGCTGATCGAACTGGTGGCCCTCCACCTGTTTTCTTCCCGATAGCAGCTCAAAGCTCACTCCGAACATGGATGCACGAAGCGAGATGCTGGCCCCCATCTCCTGGCACCCCACAAGGCATCAAACTATGCTGACCCCAACCTAAACCAGATGTTGCCAGTATGAGCCTCCTTGCATTTCCAATACCCGGGTCTCTTCCAGCTTCTCGCATCTTGCTGTATCGTCTTCCTCGAATGACACCTTCCTGCAGCCTGACCTCTCTGCGGGTCTGGCACGTTCCCTCGTGCTGTTGTAACTACCCTCCTTCAGTTCCTTCTGCCTCTGACATTCACACTTTATTTCAACATTTAGCTAAACACATTCTTTTGAGCCTCTGAATTTCCCTCCGCTTTGGTTTTTTGTAATTATACCCAACTGTAACATGCTTGGGAAGACTCCTGGTGAGACAGATCTTCGACAAAATACAACTGCAAAGTCAAATCACTCAACAATATTAACAGGCTGGAAGCTCAGGGTGCCATGAACAGAGTCTTGTCTGGAACTCTTTGCAGTTGCCACAACTTCACTTTTCATTTTTAAAATTAAGACTTGTGCATTTGTGAAGGAGAATACCATCTAGGGGAGAAAACCAGAAAAGTTTCAGGGACCTCAGTAAATCCCCGCTTCTGCCTCAGTACAATCTTTTGTCTAAAGTTTTGCGAGCCAGCACATCCCTTCTCCTTTGAAGAAAAGGCTTTCTGCTTAGCAACTTTTTCTTTCGTAAAAGACAGAATGAATTTCATTAAAATGATTAACATTACTGACCGCTAAATGCATCCTGGTTTTTGTATTTAATTATGAGTAAGACCTTCTAATGCAAGCTGCTGCTTAACGTGTTTTATACACTGAATCCAGGGGAGGGGGGGGAAAAAAAAAAAACATCGGTGAGGTAATGCTAGCAGACACTGCTTGAGAAAAAAAGAAAACGAGTCAAGGATACCGGGACATTCCAAAAATCTTACTGTCTCCCGAGAACATTTCTGAACTCTGACATCAACCATCTAATAAAAATCCGAATCCAGCAGAGGTCTTGTGAATATGTTTTAAGTAACTTGATGCAAGACTATCTCCAAGACGGATGAAGTAGGAAAAAACTACCAGCTTTGGCCTAAGAATTGAAATAAAAGACGGCTTTGAAAACATACCTTAGTCAGCAGTAGCGTTGATCAAAAATGAAAAGCAAATTTGGGAGTGGCTAACATCAACAGCTAATTAGCTATTTTTGACCAGTTGCACCTCTCTCTCTCTTTTTTTTTTTTTTTTTTTTTAAAACTCTTACCCAAAAAAACTTTCATTTTGGT